AATCGGACGAAAATATATATGGGAGCTATATCTATATCTGAACCGATTTTTCCCAATTTCAATGGGGTTCGTCCTTGGGCGAAATAAATCAATTCTAATAAAAAATGCGGCCTGTACTTTGTTTACAATTTAACATGGACAGACGGACGCACATGCATAAATCGACTCAGAAAGTGATTCTATGCTTATTCTCTATGGGTCTATCTCGTTTCCTTTTGCCTGTTACAAACATATGTACAAAGACATAATACCCTGTACCACAGTGTGGTTAAGGGTAAACAACTCGGTCGAAAAATACGATCAAAACTCCCAAAATACTGAAAATTAGGGGTACCGTTATATGGAGGCTACCAGAAAAATTGGACCTATATTTATAATTTTAGTGGAGATATTTGCTACCCCATAAGAACCCAAGCTATACCTAAACGTGGACCTATATATCCATCATCGAACTTGACCTACCTGCAGACAAAAGACAACCTTATGCAAAATTGCAGCACCATATCTCAACTCCTTCAGAAAATAGCGTAATTACAACAGACAGATCGTCTTAGAATTTTACCCTGATCAAGAATATATATACTTTATAGGGTCGGAAATATTTCGATAAGTTACAAATGGAATGACAAAATTAATATATGGAGGGTATAAAAATAGTTTAGAGTATGAAATCAAGAATATTAGTAATCATCACCTCGACTATAAAATTGCAGACTATATAACTGATAATAAATATTTACGTAAAATGAGTTTGATTTTCTGGTGTAGCAAATCTTTCAATCTAGTCTGTTTTTCGATAATCAGCCGAATAAAAATGTAATTTTTCGAAATAAAAAAATAGTTTAAAATGTTGTATGGGTATTATAGCTTTGTGCAGCCCCAAGAGTTTGTAACGCCGATAAACCCACCTTTAAGTTTTTGTTATATAATAAAAAAATAGTTTAAAATGTTGTATGGGTATTATAGCTTTATGCAGCCCCAAGAGTTTGTAACGCCGCTGTAGGATGGGTTTTGGCCATAGAACCCCCCTATTATTTTTGGTAAAGATCGATTAATATTTAGAGAATGGAATGGACCAAATACTTAATTGTTGTCGTTTTTCTGGTCGCTACAGAGACCGCAATTATGACCCGAACATCGCGAAATTTTACATTGAAAAGGGGATCGGACCAAAGAATAAGCATAACTGTTTTGATAAAGATCGGTTATTATTTAGAGGGACTTTGTGGTTAAAAATTACAAAATTTGTATTCTAATGCGTATATATTTACTCCTGAAGGACATAGACCCGAAGGGCATGGATCCCAGAGGAGTGGTTGACCTTTAATTTGGTACCAATTATTTTGTTATATGTTCTCGGATGTGGGAGTTATACATAAATAGTTACAGATATCTACCTATTCCGATTACTATTACCACACTAGAAGGCGTATATTTCTCGCTGATCGATTTGAAATTTTACGCATCATTTTCGGACATGATCAGATGATATTTATGGGTTGAAATAAACCCAAAAAAATTGTTTATTTCTTCAGGTCGCTCTATATGCTACAATAATAAGCCAAACATTACAACACATCACATGGGGATCCGAGGGTCAAATCAACCAAGACGTTTCTGTGTAAAATGAAACAATTTGCATTTTGTGGCGTAAGTGTTAACTCCGGAAAAAAAATATTCCGAATATATGCAAAGTAAGGAATAGTAGCGAGTAGGGTATGGTCGGCCCCAACCGAAAAAGTGTTGTTTTTTTTCCAGCGGAACTCTTTTTCTTGTCTTCGCTTTATTTGGTTTAGAATTTGACTCAGTCTTTCGATTAATTATAGGGAGATATTTTCCTAATTATTTTTTTGTTCGTAAATTATTGTTGTATCACTTTATTTCAACCGTTAGGATATTCAGTTTTGAGGTGTCTGAGTAGGTGTCTGATCAGTATACAACACTAATACGTTTATAGTTCATATGTGTGTGTTCTTTCGTTTGTAATCAGAATTAAAGTGGCGAAACAGAAAAAAACGCAACCCACTAATGAAAGGTTATCATTATTCTTGTCAGGACCACAAAAACAAAACTGAGCAGCTGCAAACTGATACAACTCAATATTGAACGTTCCAGATACAGGCCATTTGTTGGCTATTTTATTTGTAGTAATTTGTTGTTGTAGCTTTTTTTTCTGTTACTCCATTCTTGGAAAATAGTTTTGCTCCTATTATGTTTTCTCTTTGTTTCCGATGTATCAAGCGATTGAAATAGCACAAATCCATTTATAACGTTACGTGTTAATGATGATGACTTCTCACGATGTGTGGGGGAATGGTAATGGCAAAGATTTTTGCGTTAATACAAATGTGAATCGATACGATGGAAATAAATGGGATAAACCAAAGGCGTAACTGCCTTAAATTACTTATGAGATGAACATTTTTTTCTCGATAGGGAATTAATGGTATTTTTTTCAGATTTGCTTCTAAGTAGATGTTAAATTCTTCCGAATTACTTACTGCTAGAAATTTATGAATAAGATTCAGGAACGTGGATTATGTAAAGCATATTTTTAAGGACTATCAGAAGACGTGGATTATTTAAAGAATATTTTTTCAAGGACTATCAGAAGGCGTGGATTATTTAAAGAATACTTTTAAGGACTATCAGAAGGAGTTTATTATTTAAAGAATATTTCTTCAAAAACTATCAGAAGGCGTGGATTATTTAAAGAATATTTTTTCAAGAACTATCCGAAGGCGTGGATTATATAAAGAATATTTTTTCAGCGGCCTATAGAAGGCGTGGATTATTTAAAGAATATTTTTTCAGCGGCCTATAGAAGGCGTGGATTATTTAAAGAATATTTTGTCAAGGCCAATAGAAGGCGTGGATTATTTAAAGAATATTTTTCAAGGACGTGGACCCAAAATAGGCGTGGATTTTTTAAAGAATATTTTTAAGAACTATCAGAAGGCGTGGATTATTTAAAGAATACTTTTAAGAACTATCAGAAGGCGTTTATTATTTAAAGAATATTTTTTCAAAAACTATCAGAAGGCGTGGATTATTTAAAGAATATTTTTTCAAGGACTATCAGAAGGCGTGGATTATTTAAAGAGTATTTTTTGACTATCAGAAGGCGTGGATTATTTAAAGAATATTTTTTCAAGGAAGGCGTGTATTATTTAAAGAGTATTTTTTCAAGGACTATTAGAAGGCGTGGATTATTTAAAGAATATTTTTTCAAGGACTATCAGAAGCCGTGGATTATTTAAAGAATATTTTTTCAAGGACTATCAGAAGGCGTGGATTATTTAAAGAATACTTTTAAGAACTATCAGAAGGCGTGGATTATTTAAAGAATACTTTTAAGAACTATCAGAAGGCGTTTATTATTTAAAGAATATTTTTTCAAAAACTATCAGAAGGCGTGGATTATTTAAAGAATATTTTTTCAAGGACTATCAGAAGGCGTGGATTATTTAAAGAGTATTTTTTCAAGGACTATCAGAAGGCGTGGATTATTTAAAGAATATTTTTTCAAGGAAGGCGTGTATTATTTAAAGAGTATTTTTTCAAGGACTATTAGAAGGCGTGGATTATTTAAAGAATATTTTTTCAAGGACTATCAGAAGGCGTGGATTATTTAAAGAATACTTTTAAGAACTATCAGAAGGCGTGGATTATTTAAAGAATACTTTTAAGAACTATCAGAAGGCGTTTATTATTTAAAGAATATTTTTTCAAAAACTATCAGAAGGCGTGGATTATTTAAAGAATATTTTTTCAAGGACTATCAGAAGGCGTGGATTATTTAAAGAGTATTTTTTCAAGGACTATCAGAAGGCGTGGATTATTTAAAGAATATTTTTTCAAGGAAGGCGTGTATTATTTAAAGAGTATTTTTTCAAGGACTATTAGAAGGCGTGGATTATTTAAAGAATATTTTTTCAAGGACTATCAGAAGCCGTGGATTATTTAAAGAATATTTTTTCAAGGACTATCAGAAGGCGTGGATTATTTAAAGAATATTTTTTCAAGGACTATCAGAAGGCGTGGATTTTTTAAAGAATATTTTTTCAAGGACTATCAGAAGGCGTGGATTATTTAAAGAATATTTTTTTAAGGACTCCTTCTAATAATTTCTACATGACCACCACCTGTTGGCTTTTTTTATAAAAAAAAACTATTATCTTTATAATATTTACTTCCTGTTTACTACATGTAAAATGTATAATCCGAAACTTTTAAAATCCTTCTCCTGGCAGCTGCTTAGCAACCACAATAAACAATATGGAGATTATTGTTAAAACCTTAATCTCCATTCTATATAACTTTTTGCTTCAAGGTAGCTGTAATAGTTTTTTTTACCTGCAAATATTTGTTTATAACTTTTCAATATAAAATATTGAATACAACAATTACAATAGGCTATTACTAGCAGAATATTTTTCAAAAGGGAAAAATCTGGGCGCAAACAGACACATATGCACTACAACTACAATGAAGTCCACACAAAGTAGTGCAACACAAATAAAAATAGTTTCATATTTTATAAAAAAAGGACTCTCTCTTGCTATATGGCATGCTATATAAATGTATAAGGTATAGTAAATTATATTTTCCTTACCACACACACACACACACATGTGCACACTGTAACACACATACAGTATATTCCATTAAAGTTTCCCAATGGCTTAGAAAATAAACAAATGCATAAACATATTATTCTATAATAAATATCAATACGGTACACCTTTTTCCAAACGATAGGATACACCAAGTGCTTCGTCACATACACACCCACACACTGGAATAGTGTTTTTTATTATTATCCTTTAAACTAAAATAGACACCATTGAACTATTTACTACTTAAACAGCCATAGTTGATGGCGGGGACACAGCTGCCCATATTCCTAAGAGTGTTCTAAACTTTGAACGCCAGTAACCAGCATCTGTTTTACTTTTTTTGCTGGTGCATTAATTATTTTCTTTTGCACTGTTTTACAGGTGGTTCTGTGAGACCGACAAAAGGTTGGAAGGCCGAACATAAGGCGGCACGTACACTCGGTATTATCATGGGTGTATTTCTACTGTGTTGGTTGCCATTTTTTCTCTGGTAAGTACAATGAACTGAGGAACAGCGTTAATAACTTTATACCTGCACAGTGGTTTGAAATATTTCAAAAAATAAAAGGTCCATAACAAGGCGTGGATTTTTATACATCTATTTTCAAGGGTTATTACAAGGCGTGGATTTTTATAAATAAATGTTCATCGAGTTATTACAAGGCGTGGAGTAGGGGATGACAGATATCAAGCAACGGCTCTGATTGGCTTTAATATGGCAAAGTCCAGGCTTCTTCGTGCCACCTTGGGTAGCTATTTTCATCACTCGATGAAATAGTGAGCTAATATGTGCCGTGAGTTCACCCATAAGAACTATAAAGAAAATGGGTTGAGGCGTCGGGTTAGTTGCCCACACTCGGAAAACCGAACCTACTATGAAAAAAGCAAAAAAAAAGGAAAACAAACCCACCTAATGTTAACGACCCCCGCAAACGTATAAAGGACTGCGATCTGCGAATCTGCACTTGGAATGTTCGCACGTTATACAGAACAGGCGCAGTGTTCGCTTTGGCGGATGTACTCAAGAAGTACAAAGCGGATATTATTGCCTTACATGAAATGCGATGGAAAGGGACTGGCGTAAGTTTAATCAGACGATTACGCCCCGTATTATAGCTGCCATGAAACGTGATATGAATTTGGTTGCGGATTTATGGTTAACAGGAGAATAAAATACCTCGTCTCCAGATTCACACCAGTAGATGAGCGAATTGCTATAATCCGTATAAAAGCGAAATTCTTCTACATCAGTCTCATTTGCGCTCATGCTCCGACCGAAGATAAAGATGAACAGATCAAATACATATTTTACGAGCGGCTAGAAACAGCATATGACCGTTGCCCTGGTCATGACATTGCAATTCTGCTAGGAGATTTTAATGCAAAAAATCGGAAGGGAAAATATCTTTGGCCCCACCGTCGGAAAATTCTGCCTCCATTAAGAAACATCAGACAACGACATGAGGTTGATTGATTTCGCGGTAGCAAAAAACATGGTAGTTAGCAACACCAGATTCAAGCATCTCGATATACACAAGGCCACTTGGATTTCTCCCGATCGAACAACGAGATATCAAATCGATCATGTTTTGATAGACGGAAGGCATTCATTCAGTGTTTTAGACGTCCGATCGATCCGAGGAGCGAATATCGATTTGGACCATTACCTTGGTGCAGCCAAGGTACGCACCCGTCTTAATGTAGCAGCAAAGGTGCGATCTAATGTAACACGGAAATTTGACGTCGGAAAAGCTGCAAATACAACAGATAGCACAAGCCTACTTCGCTTAACTTTCCCAACTGCTTGGCGAAAGCTCCCCTTGTTCCTGCAGGCAGTAGCAACACGTAATGCAATGGAGAACTATCGGTAGAAATAGAGAAACGTATTTTCAGAAGAAAGAACAAGAAAAACGTGAGCGTGAGTAAATCGAGATGTACAGAAGCCAGAATGAAGCCCGAAAATTCTACCAACGGGTAAAACACCGTTGGGTGCATGCACATCCTCCGGTAGAGATTAACAAGGAAACCTGGTGACAAGGAGACCTGGTGGAAGGAGCATTTTGAAAAACTTCTGGTATCAAATAGTAGCGGTGAAGAGGATACCCCAGAACCAATAATAGATGACGGTATAGAGTGTATACCACCTAGCCAATATGAAGTCATAATAGCAATCAATCGGCTGAAGAATAATAAAGCAGCAGGTGCCGATGGGTTACAAGCCGAACTATTCAAGACTGATTAGTACAATTTGGAAGAATGCATGCCCAATGATTGGAACCTCAGCATCCTGTGTCCCAACTATAGAGGAATAAGTCTCCTCCCCATCGCATATAAAGTGCTATCCAGCGTTATGTGTGAACGACTGAAACCAATGATCAATGACATTACTGGACCATTGTTATGGTCAGACATGGCAAATCCACCATTGACCAGATTTTCACTCTGCGCCAAATCTTGGAAAAAACCCACAAAAAATACATCGACACATTTCACCTATTCGTCGACTATAAAACCGCATTCGACAGCCCTATCCGTTCAGAGGTGTATAAAGCCATGTCTGCTTTTGGTATTCCTGCAAAATTAATACGGCTATGCAGGATACCTTTAACTGGCACAATATCAGCAGTTAAAGTCGGAATGGACCTCTCGGAGCCCTTAATACCAAACGAGGATTCAGACAAGGTGACAGTTTGTCGTGTGACCTTTTCAACATCCTGCTGGAAAAGGTCATACGAGAGGCAAAAGTGAACAGAAATGGCACTCTGTACATCAAACAACACATGTTACTCGTCGTAATGGGTCGAAGATTGAGAGCGGTAACAGCCACCTTTGAACAAATTGAGAAGGAGTCTGCCAAAGTGGGTCTGGCAGTAAACGGCGAGAAGGCCAAGCTGATGGTATCAACGCGCAAGACGTCCAGTAGACTCGGACCAACTGTGGAACGTGAGAAATACAGGTTCGAGGTAGTCAAATATTTTATATACCTTAGTACCGCCATAAACAAAACGAATGACATCAGTTTTGAAATTCGGAGAAGCATAGTGATGGCCAACCGATGCTACTATGGTCTGAGCAAATAACTCAAAAGCAAGGCCACCTCCCGCCACACCAAACTCACACTCTACAAGACGCGTGTTGTTATATGGATCTGAAGCATGGGTACTTGCGCAAGCAGCTTTGGAGTGTTTGAGAGAAAAATTCTTCGAAAGATCTATGGGCCGATCTGCGTTGACGGTGAATATCGCCGTCGAATGAACTTTGAGTTGTACCAGCTATTCTCGGACATCGACATTGTTAGACGTATTGAGCTGCAGCGACTACGTTGGCCAGGTCATGTTGTGAGAATGGATGAAGATGCCCCAGCCCAAAAGGCATATAAAAGCGAACCAGCTGATGGTTCACGCAGAAGGGGAAGGCCACGAATAAGATGGAAAGATCAACTGGATGACAACATTGCCGAATATGTCTTTCAAATTGGAAAAACTGCGCAAAAGATCGACCCGCCTGGAAATCTTTTTTTAAGCTCGGCTTATGGAACGAAAGTTCTGTCACAAGCTAGCTAAGTAAGTAAGTATTACAAGGCGTAAATTTTTATAAATAAATTTTCAAGCGTTATTACAAGGCGTGGATTTTTATAAATAAATTTTCAAGGGTATTACAATCGTGGATTTTTATAAATAAAATTAGAAGAACTATTAATTTCAACCCACTGTGCTTTACACTTCCACCTTCTTATTTATTTTATCTGCTGTGTTTATCACACACACCCACTCTCTCCCTCTCTCTTTCACTCCATTAGGTACGTGATAACATCCCTGTGTGGTCCAGCGTGTCCTTGCCCCGATGTTGTTGTGGCCGTACTCTTTTGGATTGGCTATTTTAATTCGACGCTTAATCCGCTCATTTATGCTTATTTTAATCGTGATTTTCGAGAAGCATTTCGCAATACCCTCGAATGTGTGCTACCTTGCCTGGAGAAACGTAATCCCTACAATGCTTATTATGTTTAGTAGCTGTAAGAAGACAATGAAGAAGAACAAGCAGCAGAATCCGAAACCCAAACAACATACGTGCAACAAATTCCACTGGTCGTGGTGGTGTTTAGCTTGTCGATACTAAGAGCCGACCTCCTTTACGCAAAAAAGATAAACGCAACAAAGTTCAAGTTACGCTATTTAGTAACATGCACGCACACACATACACACCGACCCCCCTTCCCCACACTTTAGCCACAAACTGGTTGGTTAAATGTAATGTAATGCCTTTTTCTGCAAAAAATAAAGGAATACGGGGAAATAATAGAACGGCTGGAACAATCAACACTATGCGATAGCAAACTGACACCGCCATCACCACCTCTAATATCTAGAAGAGAACATCATCATTGCCATCATCACTGACTTTCCCCAACATACGTATTATTTTCTATATAGATATAAGACATGTAAGTGTATAGTTATTATAAGTGTGATTGTATATGTATTTGTATGTATTGTATGTGTGTTAGTTTAACACATAGTTATTATGTGAAGCGATAGTAAACTATTTATATGTGATACAAAGAAAACAAAAAAAAGTAACAGTTATCTTAAACTAGGCGCATCTGTGTGAATGTTTTGGTGTTATAACTTTAAGTTTTATACACAACAACAGCAGCAACAAACACAACAACATTTAGCATTTGTATTAATAATATTAAAGAATAATATCAGTATTGTTATATCGATAGCGATTGAAAATATAAACGGTAAAAGGTGGATAGTTAACATATGCACAGGCTGCAGGATGGACAGGATACATGCAATATGTTACAGAAGTATTCTTAAAATTAGTTTTTATGCTTCAGAGGTCTGCAGAAGTCTACGAGGTGGCCAAAAAGCAAAGTTTTTGGAAATATCCTTATATGACTGCCTCATTTTTATGAGATCGGCGTGGGAATCCTTGTATAGACCTATCCTTCCATTTAACTCCAACGGAAGAACTCCTATGATATTAAATCACATTTTCGGCAATAACACAGTCTGGAAACTTTTCCCATAAAAGATCAATGGTTTCCTTGCTTTTCGACGGATCAATAACAATCATCATCATTACTCATATCTTTACAGAGCAATCCATTCGCCATAATTGTTGATACAATCCCATTATCTAAGTAGTTAGTTCCGTGACTTCCCCGGACCCTAAACTGCACAAAATTGTCTCTCGTTGAAGATTGAAATCCAAGGGACATTACTGTCCCTTGGATTTCCGACCCTCTCATACACTTTTTGTCGTTAACGTAGCCACCAAGGAGAAAATACGCTTCATTGGTCAACTAAATTTTTCAAAGGAACTTCGGTTCATTTGTATGATATTCGAGGACCCTAATATCAAAGATACAGGCTTAAGTTCTTGTGTTAACAGAACAATTACAAATAATCATAAGTAATGGATGCATTTGGAGCATCTTCAATATTTTGGGCTGCAGCAGCAATACGAGTACTATTATATTTATCCAGAGCAATACGAGGACTATTATATTTATCCTCCGGAAATTTACACTATTTTCCATGCACGCAACGCGATTGTCAAATCACCTTTTCCACTCCCATTGAGACTCCATCGAAACAAGTTTTTTTTTTTTGAACGATCTGAAAATTTTCTAACGATGAAAATCATTCTTGATGTATGGTAAATCATTGGGCCCAAATTCAAGGTTGTTCGGCAAATAGCTCATCAATTCCACAAATTGAAGGAGCAAAGGCAACGAATTTGTGTTTTACGTCTCGGAATTGACCTCATTTTCCTTGAACAACTTTAGTCGGGGTTGGTTTGTTTTCGAAGACTCAAGCTGTTGATTGATGTTTTATTTCGCATGGTAGTCGTCGAAGCCCCTCAATTTTTGTACATGGCCGCATGAGCGTTTTTTCTAAGTTATAATTACATCGTGCGGATCACAGAGGATAAACCTCATTTTACGACAAGGTGTTTATGTAATATCGAATATTTGCTGGATATATCTATCTTTTTCTGAAGCACAAATGCAATTTTTAGGCGACCTTTGTCTTTGAACTAGCTTAAGCCATTTATCATGTTATGATTAATCATTATGAGTTAATTCATTTTTTGTTTTTTTTTTATACAAATCAAATCAAATTTACAAGTTTTTAAAATGTTCACCATTTTGATATTCGATTGATATTAGAAAGTGTGGACTAGTACTCGCCATCTCTGAACATGACACATGATTAGAAGAAATATTGTGATGCTTAGACCAAATCGGTTACTTAAGGTTTATCGCGGGTATCTGCCAGATATTAAATTCAAATTGTCTTATAGGGGAGCTCCCTTATAGGGTTCAGAAAATATTTTTTTTTATTTTTATATAACATATGCTCATTTGCCAGCCGGCTGAAAATCGTCGAAATTTAAAATGTAGCATGGGATGTCCCCTTAAACGGATTTGGTTCGAAGGCAGTATTAAGGCTTACTCTTAAGGCTGAAGTTATAAATATTATGATGTGCAAGATTTAAACAATATTGAGTATCCCATGAGCCTCATATTTGCCTTTTTGAGCCGTCTTCAAAATACACCTAGATTACATAAAACTATTAGAATGTGAATTTGAAACCTGAGAATTGCTTTCGTTGTCATAAATCTAAGTTTGGTCCAAATGGGACCCTCAATTTATAATATAAACATTGTTTATACAATTTTTTGGAGAAAATGCTGAAATCTTAATATTCGAACTTAATATATTTTTGGAAGAAATATTCCAAAGTTTAAAATTTTCCCAAATAGTTAATTTTTCTGAAACTAATTTAATCCATATGGGGGATTATTATTATTTCAACGATGTGCATTTTCAAAACGAGGGACTTTTTTAAACCATTAGGTTCAAAGTAGAAGTGAAACGGTTGTTTTCTTTATATTTTAAGAAGGTTTTAAAATATACTCAATATGGAATTGTGTGCTGCCAAAATGATCACGTCTTGGGGTAATAGTTTGAGGGATTCCGAGGGATATACAACCTATTGATTTGACTTCAAATATTTCGCGGGCTACACTCAACGACAAATTCGAGTTCATGGTCTGGGGGTGAAAAATTCCCATTGGGGATAAAGGACTTTGGTGAGTATATGAAAATCCCAGAAGTCGAAAAAATTCGTATAGGTTAAAGTTCGAAGATATGGCCAAAAAATAAATGTCTAGGAAAAATGAACCGCTTTTCTAAATTTTTAAACCGGATGTTCAGATAATAAACCCGACCCGATAGTCCGGTTTAATAAATTTAGCACGTTTGTTGGCAGGTTTTCTAATAATGTATAATGTTTTATTATCTGAAAACCGGTTCAAAAATTAAGAAATCCAGTTCTTTTTTCCTCGAAATTTCGAAAATGTATCAGACGCAATTTTAGAAAATAATACTGAATTTTTTGAAATACATAAGTATAGAGTTTTATTGACAAGAAACAGGTAAAATTGAGAAAAGGGCAATGAAACGTTAAAATATCGATCGATTTCTAGTCTTAAAGGACCCAACCTACAATTTTATTTGCAAAATTCTTGTAGAATATTGCGAGGATAAAAAATGACACCTTTTGATTATTCGGTTCAATAAATTAAGGATGAAGAGAGATGACATTTCTTCAGTAAAATTAAATGAGGATTTTTTTTTTTTTGTAGTACATTTTGTCTTTGTAAATCGATTCCTTGTGACCACAGATCATCTCCAATATATGTCATCTCCAATACATACAATAGTATCAAATGAAGATAAGATATACCAAGTATAATAATAGAATTTTTCCTTCTAAGGTTTTCATATCGTCATCATAAATGCAAACGGACGTAACTACAGAAAAATTCGAAATTGACTTTTTGTTAGGTTATTGTTCGTTTAATCAAACTACATGATCACACAAAAATTTAGACATCTAACGTCAAAAACAGCGGTGTAATTAACGAAATTCAAACGGACGTAACTACACTCCTGTAAAAAACTAAAGCTTGCAATATTGAAGATTGAAATTCTGAACTTATATTAATTTTAATTTTTTTACGGTAGCCCCCATATCGGGGTATCCCAAATTTAAGGTTTTTTAAATTTGTTTAACTAATCATCTATAATTAGGTATTTTTGTTTCCCACTGGGTGGAAAAGTACCCTGTGCAAAGTTTTATCGCTATCGGAGAAATATTTAATGCAACATTTACATAAAATTGGTCGAAACTCTATATGGGAGCTATATCGAAATCTAAACCGATTTTCTCACACACTTCACACACATCACTCTAGACTCTATTCAGTACGTTATGCAAAATTTCGTTCAGATCGAAAGAAATATAGGGCTTTAATGCACGATTTACACAAAATCTGACGAAAATATGTGTGGGAGCTATGTCTAAATCTGAATCGATTTTCACGAAACTTAACACACGTCACTCCGGACTCAATCTGGTACGCTGTACAAATTTTAGTCTCAATCGGATAATTATTAGTCGCTTTGTTGTACTACAATTATTACCATGTGGATGTTATTCTTTTATTTCATTAATACAAATAATGTTGTTGCTGTACCGCCATCTATGTTATTTAGTATTTAAAGCAATATTTTTTAGAAAATATTTAATTTGTTGTTATATGGAATTTAATTTGTAGGAATTATTTTATCAATTTGTTAACAAACACTTGTTACAATTTTTATAAAAAAATATACATACATTTAAATATTATTTAAAATGTTTAATATATTCTATAAAACAAATAAATAAATTACTTTTAAGTTGATTTAATAAAAATTGAATTTATTTTTATTGTGTTAAACTATTGATAAATATATAAGGCAAATCAATGGAAATATTATAAAATGCAATCCATTACATCTTCATTGACCTCCCCAGAATTATTATGCTTTTCTAATTGTATGTAAAAAATCAATAAAAAACATTATAGCAATATTGAAATTAAAAAAAATATATAATGTAATTTAAATAAAATCTAAGTCTTAAGATATATTTATAAATTAAT